CGTGATACCAACAGTGCTGAGGGGTGCACAGGGCTGCTCTCCTTGCTGGAGGAACCAATGCCAGGCACAGGTTGCAGCACTGATCAAAACACATGGGAAGCTGGGTGAAAAGAATTTCCATGAAACCCATCGAGAACAGCATCAGGGTTTCCCAGAAAGCCCTTCTCTCTTACTGATTTGCCATCATTTTTTAATGCAGGTTTTGAGCTTTCTTTGGAGTCTAATTAAGGCCCTAATCAGTTTAAATGATGAAAAACTTTCCCAACACCAGCATATCAAACACGCAGAAGCAACAGTTCTGCTCCTGTCAAAGCTAGCCTGACTCGCCTTTGCTCGTGTGAGGGCACCACGCTGAGTAAAAAAGGAAAAATCACATTCTTCATCAGCACTTCACAGTGAAATTTAAGTTGTCGGTTCCTCACGGGAAATCCTGATGCAACACCCAAACCGTCCCTGTGAAGCGGAGCTTGGTGAACGTTTAATTACGCCTCGGAACAAACACACATCGCTGCGTGGGGGCTGCGAGGAGCCATCCGAGCTGAGTGCTAAGCTGCTCTGTCCCAGAAGCAGTTTCTTCAATAGCACTCGCTTATCAAAAATAATTAGAGGTAGGAACGCTGGAACTGTGATTATGAAACAAATGGTAAATCTATTTGCTGAGGCGAAATGTATTGAAAGATACATCTAGACACAGCTGGAGACTGAGGTGATACCACAAGGATAACAACTCGAGATCCAATTTCATCTTTCATGATTAAAAAATGAGCAAGAAAGTGTTTTATGAAATGTGAAGGTTAACAAATGTTCCTTCACAAGCAATGACGACAGTTTATCTTTTGAAACAAATGATCAGGCTATGGTCTGCTAGCAGCTCCCGAGACACATTGGAAAGATTTCTGCTAAAAACCCACTGAGGATCAGCACACAGAGCTGCCAGCCCACTGTGCTGCCAACACCCAGGACAAAGCTGGCTCCAAGGCAGCGCTGCCGTAGTGGGGCAGGAGCCGGGCGTGCTCCTGTCCCAACCCTCTGCCCTGTGCCAGTGACAGGAGCCCAGTTCATCCCTGTACCCAGTCCCTGCAGTGGCCATGGCTCAGCGACACCTGCCCACAGGAGGGGTGGCACAGGAAGGTCCCAGACCGACAAATTAACGACCACTTCGGCTGAATTTCTAATTTGCCCAAAATATTCCAGGAGCCCCCTCTGTCTAAAGGGAAGCACCCACACACTGTCACCTCCACTGCAATGAGAGAAGTGGTGGCTGGTGCTGGGCCTGTGCAGCCCCAGGCAGGGACAGTCCTGCTGCAGGCTCTGATGGGAACTGGGGATGGAGCAAAGGGAGTGGACAGCACATCTCACCAGGGGATGAAACATGTTTTCCTAAACAGCACAATCAGCTCCCAGGCAAATTCAGAGAAACGTTGGTCTATAAAGAGATTATGAAACACCAATTTTTTCTCCTGGTCGTTACACCGCAATACTCCTTTTGGACTACAGATATAAAAGGTGCATATATTTACATTTCTGGACAGAATCAGTCTAGCTTTCAATTTTTCACATGGTGGTTGACCTACTAAGTATCAGTGCAATATTCACATATAGAGTAAGTGGCCAACAAGGAATTCCTCTGAGTGTTCTCCAGGTAAAACATTCCCTTTATGGTGCGACTACAGTGTGAAGTATGAAAATTTATTTTTAGAAATGAATTCGGCTACAATTTGACTAGTAGACCAAACACCATGAGCTGTTTAATGAGTAAAAAAATGCATATAGAAGCTCTAAAACTGTGAGGGAATTATATCATGATAGCTGTGGATAATTCTCCAAGAAGAAAAATTCAAATTACCAGGAGTGAACAGACAGTAGAGAAGATGGTGATGGCAGCTTTAGCTCCTTCTAATAATAGAATTAATAGTTAAAATTGAGAAAGAAAAGAGTATTTATGTGTAGAAGGCAACACAAGATGTTTTAAAGTAAAAAAATTGCTTTATACCCTCATAAAATATGGGACTGCATAGCAATGCCCTTATTCCTATCCTAGCAGCCTGAAAGGATTCCTTAGCATGAGGAGAACAGAACACAGGACTTTGGCAGAACCCCCCAAAAAACCAATATAAACTAAATTTACTTATTAGTGAGAACACAAATCACAATAGCCATAAAGCTGGCTAAACAACTGAATGCTAGTTAACAACCATGTTAGAGAATTAATGCTATTCCTTCCTATTCGACTCTCCATCAAATTCCCTGGGATACGACAATTACACTGTTCTTCCCAACAAAAAAGTCAAATAAGAAATATTTCTATTGGTCAAAGCTCTTAACGTCCTAAATTCTGATGGGGGAAAATATTTAAGGTAAAGGCCACATAAGTCTTCTCTGCAGTTTAACCGTGCTGCACAAATAGCAACAGACTTCCCCCTTGGTGGGCCAGAAATTATTCTAACACAAAAAATGGAGACAAAGGTATTATGAGACCTCTTTCAGACATACAACTTTGTTTCAGAGGCCACATTTAACTGCTGCTGGGATAGAAGCTGCATGGCCATGGTCAAACACTAGTCCCAATTGTTGCCTTTCATGTTTCGTGTCATAAATTGCCCTCTCTTCTCAAAGTTGGGATCTGCAATGCCTGGTTTCTTTTCCATCTCTAGCACAGGTTTCTGGTGTGCCCCAGAAAATTCATATCCTCTAGGGGTCAGTGAGAAGATTGAGCAGCACCTCAAAGCAGCATTTTCAGCATAAACCAAGGAAAGAAAGTGCTCTACAACTACAGTGATGAAAAGGTTCTTTAAGCTTAACAGCATCAATACTGCTGTCCTTTGGCACTTTAACATGTCTGATTTGATGCCACACATTATTTTTGTTATGAAACTAGAATAAACCAAAATCAATATGTGCTTATTAAATGGACAAAACATGGGGTAGCTCATAGGTCTCAAAAAGCAAATGTAAATGGGAAACACTGCTCAGCTGAGTATTTCTAGCAGGGTTCTGTTACATACAGTATAAAGCTGCATATCTACCTTTAGGGTCAAATTAAGGAAAAAAAAAAGCACAGACACAACACTTTTTCAAGATCACAAATGACAAATTCCAAAGAGGTGATAAATAATGAAATGGAGGATGACAGATGGAGAGACCTCGATCACTTGGCAAGCTGGGTGCAAACAAGATAAAGAAAAGAAAAGATAATGTATAAACAAGATAAAGTATACAAAGAAATACTCCAGAAAATAATGCAGCTATTCTTTCTGGAAAGAAGATTATTCCTGGAAGTAGCTCTCCTGAGAGATTTTGGGGGTCCTTGTGATAGTACCTAGCATGACCCAATTGTGATACTGTGATGAAAAGCTTCCTCAACAAGGGAAGATCAAAAACTTATATTCTTCATTGACACATCAGAATTATGTCCATGACACAAAAAGAGTACAGTTGAACTGAAGGAGAACCACAAAGATTCTAATTTGATGTTAGAAATCAGTCTGCTAAAGAACCTTCTGGAGCTCAGTTTTTTCAGATTAGCACAGATAGGGTGCCACAAGTGTCTTGTCACAAGTGACTTGTGACATTAATCAATACTCAGAACTTATGCAAGGTACAAAAATTATTTCACTATAGTGAAGATAGTTACATATTTCCTCATCACACCTTTTCCATCTTCCCAAAGGCTGCTTATCCTGTCTTTTCCCCTTCGGATGTGTTCACCCCCACCCAAGCTCCTCTTCACTTAGATTTTGGGAATGTATCCCACCTAACCAGGTGTGGACCTGTGACTGCTGCCTGTGTGGCAGAATTTCAGCTGGGACATTTCATGTGTGCGCTGAGGAATTTCAGCTCCAGCAGGAGCAAAAATCTTCATGTGGGTAGGATGCTCCCAAACACTGCCTGGCCAGAAGGCAAGGTGACAGCTCCCATATGGCAGCTAATGGACTCATCTCTTCTGTTTGGCTCAGTGCTCTATCTCTCATCTTTAGAAGGAGAAACATGTTTGTTCAAGTTTACTAAGAAAATATTTACTAAAGATTTTCTGAAATACATTTTACATTGAAAGACATGAAACATCTGATCATTGACACTAATCTAGCCAGCATCTGGACACTACAAGGTTAGATGGCATTTTACCTATCTTAGAACCATGTGTTGGATTTGGTTTTGCTTCATATGTTTTGCTGTTTGAGGCTGCATGGGAAATGCTATCAGTGCTTTAAAAAATAAAAAGAAAATACACACATTAGCTGGAGATCAAGTACATTCTTCCAAAGGAAAAACAAAGCAAAACTCAAAGTGTTTTGCAGTGTGACCCTCATAAGAATGTTTGCATTAGGCCTGCTGTCTTATTAATATTCATTTATGTTTATATAAAGTCTTTTGCACAAAACCCCCATACACAGCAGGCAAAAAGCCCCAAGTATTGCAGACACACACTGACAGGATAGTTGTAACTCACAGTCAGTGATGGTCTCTGCTGATTTCCTCATAAAGAAAATTTTTTTTGAAGTTGATATGTAATTTTTGTGTTTTACTTTGTTTAGTTAGGGAAGGGACAAGAGCCCCTCGGGAGGAACCTTACTCAACAGAAGCACAAGAAGCCTGTCTAAAAGCTATGACTGAAAAAGAAAAGGTAAAGGTTTGTTCAGGTCTCAGTCAATATGCAGGAGTATAGCATCAGAGATATGCAAGAAGAATTAACAGTCTTTTCCTAATTTACTCAGCAAGCACTGTTTGCTCTTGCTGGTTCATAATAAGAAGAAGTAGAGTTAAGTCATGACTTTCTTCTTCTACCTTCACCTAAAAACAGAGTTCCACCTCCCTGACTACGAAATACCTTAAGTGCAAATAAAAAGCCATGCTTAGGCAGAGGAAGAAACTCCAGTCTCTTCTGGGCAGGGCTGACCATGCACAAGCACATGTTTTCATAGGAGTGGTTTAGAAACCTAGACAGCTGGCAGCATGCTGAGAGGCTTTGGGAAGAGCCCACAGTACGTTCCTCTATTTACCTCAGGTAATCTCTGCGGCAAAGAATGAGATTTGCTTTTGTGTAAAGAGTTGATCCAACCTCTCCAAGACGACAGTCACAGCAGGCACACTTTAAACAGTCTTCATGCCAATACTTATCCAGAGCCTTCAGCAGGTACCGGTCCTTGATCTTTCGGTTGCAGCCAGCACAGCCCTTCTGCTTCCCTTTGGGTTGTACGGATAACATCGGCACACCTGCAACGCAAACAAAGCATTTCACTGAGAGGATATCCAGACAGCTTGGATAGGTTACCGGCATTTGGGGTAGCACTGTGAGCTATAGGTAGATCTGTGAGCAAACACTGCTGCTGGTTTCATTACATCAAGCCCACATTGCAAGAAGCTGACAGTCAAAGGAATTTTAACTTCATCTGCTGTCAGGGGCTAAGTGGGAGTGTGACGCTTGCAAGAACGAAGCCCTTTTTTTCCTGAGGGTAGGGCTGACACAACGCACCAGACTTTTTGTAATTAACATCTTGCAGCGGAATAAACTGGTTGCAATATCAACATTTGCTTTCCCCCTCATTACCAGTACCCTTGTGTTGTTAATTACCTGCCAAAGGCAATTACAAAGATCAGAAGGGCCACCACTGCACGTACCCCCAGTCCAACATCTTGGCTGGATCAAGTTTGATGGGGAAAGGAGAGGAGGGGGTATAAAAAGATGTGCTAGACCACTGTTTTTCCTCTCTTGTGAACCCCACTGGTGACAGAGGCCTCACTGGAAGCTAAAGCAGTCCAGGAGCTGCTCCAAAATCAATGTGATTCAAAAGTCCTTTAGGAGTGCTGAGAATAACCCAACCAGTGCCCCCTTGCCACTACTGAAACCACACTCCTTAAGCAAACTAGACCTTTCCTACTCCTCTTGTATCACTGGAGAAGGTAGTGAAAAGCCAGGAGTTGCTTCCTCCCTGGAAAACCCTGCTGGGACTGCAAAGCAAGAATGAGCTAGGTGGGTATGAGGTGGTGACAGGACTTCCAAGTCACGAGGCTGGTGGAGACTTACTGTGGCCACCATCCTCACAGTGCTGTCTCCAGCTTTTTCCTCTCCTCCAAGCAACAAATGCCTCCCTTGTGAGCACTGACACAGCTGTGCAACCTGTCAGCCTTCTCAGTTTAAGAGGGGGGCAAGAAAGGATTTTATGGAATCAACAGGCAAGGTGGAAAAATAAACAAGGATTGTACTGTGAGGGAGGACAGGGACAGGAAATTACAAAAGAAGTATTCACTACTATGTCAGAATTCCATTTTCTCTGGAGCCTTCATTTTACTTTGTTACGATTTTTATTTTTACTGGTGTCAATCACTGAAAATGACAACGCTGGGCCTGTAACAAATACATTGTGGGCTTAACCAACGCAGAGATGATGAGAGGGCCACAGTAGCAGGTGTCACTGGCTATATACTCTTACACAAAGTTAATCTGCCATTTCTGTAGGAAGCACTGGATGTTCCAGAAAGAAGCAGCTTGATAACGGAATTATTAACAATCCCTTAACTAGAGAGGACGAGTTAGTGCCACTCTTGTGACATTTGCTACTTTCCTTAAAAGCCAGGGTGACCTGAGAGTGCCTAATGGTCAGCACATGTAAACCCACCACTCCTACAGTAATAATTGCTTCATCAGAGCTGCGAGCAGATGACAATAGCACTTAAGACACCTCTACACAAACAGCGAGGTATTGATCCATTTGTAATCAAAGTGGTCTCAGCAGCATGGAGACAGGTCAAGTAACATTCAAAAACTCTAAAGGCTTAAAGAACCCGCCTGCCCTCTGCTCCAGCACACTTGAAACCCGCTCACAAAGTCTCTACGAGCAAACTCTTGACACCAATGACAAATCCCCAAAACTTAAGTGAAAACTTCCATCTGTGTTAGACTGCCACACATGCAACCTCTAATGCTACCGAGAGAGAAATTCCACATACACAGCCACAGCGAAACACACATTTGGAAAGAGGGAGAAGACAGGAAAGTGACAGAAATGGAATATACTGCAGGTCAGACTGCAGAAATCCTGTGCACCTGGTGAGAGTTTCTCACAAGAACAAGAGAAGTGGCCCCCTGGTTCTAGACACAGCACTTTTTTTTTTTCTCTTTTTTTTTCAAAATACATTTCAGGAGTAAGGAGAAGCTTCACTTTTCAAGTAATTTCTATGCTCTTCCCAAATCCACGCCAGGAAAACAGCACATTGTGAGAAGAGGCTGCCTTGTTCTGAGGCAGAGAAGGGGGTGTACACGAATTTGCATTTGCAAACTGTGTAAGATCAGTACCAGTGATGAAAGAAAATAGTTTGCACCTATGAAACTAAGACCGAGATGTGCAAATTATATTTTAGATAGGAACCCCAGACACCAGCAAGTCATTACCCACGCCACAAACAGGCTCTCTAAATGTAAGCTGCATAACCTCAGAGGCTGAGGAGGGTTTCTTACAAGGGAAGGTCATCATACAATTCTTTTGCAAGCTTTATCTAGGTAACCTGAGGATCCTACATCTGGAAAGACGCAGATTCTGGATAACCAGCGTGCCTTCAACCCCCACTCAAGAGGCTGCCACAAGGGTGGGGTTTGAGATCAGCTCTGCAATTCAGCAGTGCAAGACCTTCAGCCAGGTGAGACCTCCCAAGGCTCCTGAGCACTTTTGGAACCAATGCCCTTTCAGAGTTACAGCTGCTCTCCGCCAGAGCAAGGGCTCCACTGCATCAGCAGCATGATCAAGAGCAAGGGCATTTGCACAGGAATGAAACCCTGGCTGGACCATTAGGAGAGGCTGGTTTGATTACTTAGGACAGGTTAGGAGGGTCTCCTGTGGCAAGCAGGCGGATGGCTGAGGGCTGGCTGTAGTGGCAGTTCTTGTTCCATCTGTGGCCCTGGCAGCCCTCACTCACTGCAGCCATCTCAGCTCCCCGCTATTGCAGGAGCACCATTGTCTTATGAGAGGCTTCTGCGAATAAGGGGAATGTAACACTTTGATTTGCTTCTAATAACTAGCAAAGGAACAGATATATATATTTTTAAGCAGTACCTTAAGCAAGGAAAAAAGCTATGTATTTGGTCAGTGTTCAGCAGGGGGCTTTCTAATGAAAAAAGGTACCATTTCAGAGATCATATGATGTTCAAAGCTGCTATTCCCACTCAGATAATAACGAGCAAGGTCAGCCTCTGCTGGTCAGGTTCAGTGTTTTGAAATTACATTTTGGGCTGTGAGGTTTCCCTCTGACATCCCAACCAACCAGTCTGCACGGAGCACACACGCCACTACTGAAAGTTGCAGCTGCAATTAGCTGGTGAGTTGACACAGCAGGCAAGGCGTGAAACAAAATTTCAAAAACTGCCAAACTTGATCAGCAAGGGTTCCTCAAACACTTGCCATGTCATTTCCAAGCAACAAGAGAGAAGCATTTTGGAAGCTTAACCCCTTTCACAGTCAAAGGCTTGCAGAGAGAGGGCACAGCCAACACCAAACCCTGATTTCCTCCTCCTGCCTCCCTTCCAGCAAAGCTCAAGCAGTCTGGGCTTTGCAGGCAGAAACCACCTGGAGTACTGCTCTTTCTTTTTGGAAATTTCCCCACTGCAACACTGAGGTGCTGCTTCATTTCTCTATGCAATTTCCCCCCAGTGTTTGCCAAAAAACTCCAAGATACCTAGTTCAATTTGATGAGAGGCATGTGGTGTCTAACTGGGGCTGTCAAGAAACAAAGGGGTCACCTTCAACAAATTCCACGTGTGCTGCGTGGGCGAAGATTAGAAAATGAGAAGTAGTGTTGCAGAACTAGAAAAATTAACAGCTGGACACTCACAGATTTAAATACGTGATCACAAGGGAACAGATTATTGCCAAATTCTGAAAGTACCATCAAGTTGTTCTCTCCTCTCCTGTTGCTAGACATCCAGTGCTCTCTTTTCTTAGAAACAGCAGATGAAGCCTTTCTATTTCTGGCTACCTACACTCCCTTCTTTGCCCTTTACAACTTAATAGACTTGCTGCTGGTAAATACAAAACTAAACCTGTTCTGAGTGCTCAGAGCTCCAATACACATTAAAAAATTATAGACACCACCTCTGGACATACTGAAATTTATGTGTGTGTCTAAAGAGGCTGTTATTGTAGTGAGTAATCTAAACTTTACCTCTATTCACAGTCGGACAAACAAGCTTTAATCAGCCCATATCTTCTCAGTCGGGGTCTTTCTGTAAAATGATTCAGCTGGCTTTATAAAACAAGTGTCCACTAAGTACACCTCTAAATTTTTCTAAGCCATTTTTACTGATATTTCTATTCACATGGCAATCAGCTGCAGTTCCTCTAAGGGCACTGTTCATAAAGCCTGGTTTCCAAGAGAGCCTGGGAACTTTTCATAAATGGTAGACCTTTTAAATAACAGTTATCTGCACTGGTCCTACGGCGTGCAGCTCCACAGTGCTCTGGTCTGCCAGGGAGCTACCGGTCCCCTCTGAAAGCATGGAAGTTCACCACCTAATTTCTTTAATGCAACTCTAAAGGTTAATTGGTCTGAAAGAGTAATGGGGGACTGCTAGCTAATGATATATGCCTCAAGGCTTTGCAGCTTGCCTGTATTTTATACAGTCAAGTCCAGAGCATAAAACACAGGTGATATCACCAGGACTTTTCAGACCCCCCTCCAACCTGCCCCCCTCGGCCTCCCCCTGTCGTGCCCAAGCCCTCTGCTACACCCGCGTGTGCCGAGTGAGAGCCGCAGGAGCTGAAGGCAGTTCTCTTCCACCTGCATTTCATGCCTTATTAGAGGGGGCTCTGAGAAGTGCCGCCACTGCGCTCCTCATTACCAAGGCAGAGAACTAAAAACAACCCTAATGAGGAGAGCCAGAGCGTACAGTACGGGGTGGGAGGAGGGACGTCCTCCCACACTCCCCAAGGAATCTGGCCAAAATCTTCAATTTGCCATTTATGACAGCTAATTAGTTATTCTATTCAAAATCTTTGCTTTAAATAAAAGAACTAATTATACACAAAGGTCAGTCCCCCACCTCCTGTGAAGCTCACATAATTGGCTTATTTCCCCAACATTGTGTGTATGTTTTACACAATGCTTTCAGGCAGATGGCTTTAACTCTTTCCCTCGACAAGTTTTTTGGTGTTGGCTTTTTTGTCGTTGTTGGGGATTTTGTTTGGGTTTTTTTTTTGTTGTTGTTGTTGGTTGGTTGGGCTTTT